TTATTCATTTATAAAATTATAAAATTTTATAAAACTTATAAAATTACAAAATATGTACTTCTTATCAAAACAAAAAAGAGAGAGAGACTTGGTAGAAAAATTTGGAATCCCTAGCTCTTTTTATTGTATTGGATAATTAGCAAATAAGATATATCTTCAAATATTAATAATGTAGTAAAATGCTTCAGAGATGAAGGAAAGCACCTTCCTCTTGAAATGTATTTTATTTTGGTATATTATTGACTCTTCTTATGAGCAAACTGCTTTTTAAATATACATTATTTAATTCTGGAGTTGAAATCAAAATAAGAAGCTGCCAAAGGGAGAACTGAGTATAAGTTTAGTCAGACATGGCATGAAAAACAAGGAATATGAATGGATGGTGAAACATTTTTTTGAAGGATGACTTCATTGTTATTATTCTTTTTACCAAAGAAACATCCTTAGGCATCAAAAAATGAAGCTAAAGGGAGCTTTAGGTCAAAAGATGGTGCTTAATAAACCCATTCAAAAATAAGGCAGTGGATTTCTCTATGAACATAAATTGTTTTGGGGGTTCTAGTTTGTTAGGAATTACATAGAAATAATAACACTTCCCCTATATAAAGCATGATAAATTGATTTATTATAGAATGATTAAAATGACTAGCCTACCTTCTGAGATCTAGTGTTGCTTAACTGGACAGAGAAAAGTAGCAAAGAGATGGTTTACTGTGAGAAAGAATAATGTGATTTTAAAAAATCATAATCTTGATTTAATCTTATCAAACTTGCTTTATGATTTAGCATATACATTAGTAAACTAATACCTCATTGCTTTCACTTGAAAAGTTAAGCATGTGGATAAGCAACTCTTTCTTTCTTTTTCTCTTAATGTCAGTTTCATAGAAATATTTTTACAGCCTTAAACAAAAGTTTCACCTGAATATGTATTTGTTTATATAGTTTTAACATGACAGAAAAAAATAAAAACCAAATACAAAACTGTTACATTTTTAAGGCACCAGAAGAGCTCATTATCTTGGTGTTAAACTATCAGCTATAATTTGGGTTGTGGCAGGAGATCATTGGGCCAAAAAAGTCCACTCTGAGGCCAGAGTGATCTATCTCAGAGGATAATTGTATGGAGGTGTCACTTTGTAGTACTTTGACAGTGGGTCTGGTTGTTCTGTTGCTCCACTCTGCAATGGGACTAGATGAAGAACTCATCATTCAAAAACGTTCTTTGAGTAGAAATAAAATTATGGATTCTATGTACAGAAAATATAAACACAAGCACAAACATTTGCCTACAATTTTAAAACGTTCATAGATTTCAAAGCTGATGCTGTGTATCAGGTCTCAGGTTAAGAAACTATTTTGCAATGGCACATATGCCATGAACTTGCCATGAACACAGCATTTTCCCTGCCATTGAAGTCTATGTAACTTCCAAAATGTGATATTTTCACCTGCCAGTAGGTATAATGCTTGCTGGACGATAGAACAGCAAAAAAGGGGAGCTTTGTCTGCCAGTAGTAACCCCAGAAGGGTACACACCAGCACACAAAAAGAATGAACAAACCCTAAATATTAGACAGTCTGTCATCACTGATAGCCCCGAAGAAGTCAAACCTAAATTTGTCTAACATTCAAATTTTAGCTCTTGATTTTATGGTAGATTTGGTAGACAAATGTATGCCTTATGTAAATAATTATAGAAGAATTTATATTTTTCCTCTTTTAAATGGTTAAAAAAATATGTCTTTATGACTTCCCAACTAATCATGGTAGAAAAACAAAATGGACACAAAAGAAAACAGGGCTGGTTTCCAACCTTTTTTGCGAAGAACAGTGCAGTAGCAAAGAAGAATTAGGACAGTGGTTAAATCTTTTGCTTAGGTTTTTTTCTTTTCTTTTTTTTTTTTTCACAATTAGGGAATGCATTCATCATACACAGTCTTACTGTCAAATTGATCCCAATAGCTTACACTGAAGACCTTTTATGAAGCTGATGGGTAAAAATTATATGACTCAAGCACTGAGGTGAATATAACAATCAAAAGCTTTTTTCCCTCTTGAGGAAAAGTCACATTTTTTTAGAGTGTCAAAGTTTTAAAATATTACTAAAAACTAAGCATAATGTATGAGAGATAAGTTAGGCAAATTTGGGTGAGATAAATATTTTATAAGTGGAAGAATGTACTTCTGCTTCCAGCCAAGATGGAATAGCAGGGACTGGATTTGAAGAAACAGAGCAAGCATCAGGACCAGACATGACAGGTATGTTGGAATTATCAGACCAGGAATTTTAAACAATGATGATTAATATGCTAAGGGCTCCAGTAGATAAAGTACACAGAATGCAAGAACAAATAGACAATGTGAGCAGTGAGGTAGAAATTCCATTCTAAGAACCAAAAGGAAATGTTAGACATTTAAAAAAAAAAATACTGTAGGGGCACCTGAGTAGTGGAGTTAAGCAGCCGACTCTTGGTTTCAGCTCAGGTCATGATCTCAGGGTCATGAGATCAAGCCCCACATAGGCGGGCACTCAGCAGAGTCTGCTGGACTCTCTCTCCCCTCTCCCTCTTCTTCTCCCCCCACTCTCTCTAAAATAAATAAGTAAATTGTTTTTTAAAAATACTTGTAACAAATAAAGATTATTTTTGATGGACTTAATAGTACACTGGATGTAGTTGAGAAAAGAATCTCTGAGCTTGATGATATATTCATAGAAATCTCAAAAACTGAAAAGCAAAGAGAATAAAGACTGAGGAAAAACATAATAGAATATCCAAGGACTATAGGACAACTAAAAAGGTGTGACAATGTATAATGGGAATACCAAAAGGAGAAGAAAGAGAGAATGAAACAGAAGAAACATTTGAAACAATAATGGTTGAGAATTTTTCCCAAATTAATGTCAGACACCAATCCACAAATCCAGGAATCTTGGAGAACACCAAGAAGGATAAAATCCAAAAACCTTACACCTAAGCATATCATTGTCAAACTACAGAAAATCAAAGATAAAGAAAAAAATCCTGCAAGAAGCCAGAGATATAAAACACATTACCTATAGGAAAAAAGATAATAATTGTATCCAACTTCTCCTCGGAAACCATGCAAGTAAGAAGAGAGTAGAGTGAAACACTTATAGTACTAAGAGAAAAAGAAAATCAACCTGGAATTCTGTATTCTGTGAAATTATCCTTCAAAAGTGAAGGAGAAATAAAGACTTCCTCAGACTAACTGATATTGAAGGAATTTGTTGTCAGTAAACTTGAGTTGTAATAAATGTTTAAAAAGAGGTTCTTTAGAGAGAAAGAAAATAGATAGGTTAGAAACAAATCTATATAAAGAAAAGAAGAGCACTGAAGAAGGAATAAGTGAAGATAAAATAAAAACTTGTTTTTCTTATTCCTAATTGATCTAATAGGTAATGGTTTGTTCAAAATAACAATATGCATAACATATATGCATATACATGCTTACACATGCTTATATATAAGTGAAATGTATGACAGCAATGATACAAGGGATAAGAGGGAGGAATTAAGATTATTTTGTTATTATAAGGTACTCACACTACCCATGAAGTGGTATAGTGTTTTGAAAGTGGACTTGGATTAGTTGTACATGTATATTGCAAATTCTAGGGCAACCACTGAGAAAAGTAAAAAAGACATATAATTGATATGCTAAGAAAGGAGAGAAAAATGGTGCCATATAAAATGTTCAATTAAAATCATAAAAGTCAGAAAGAGTGGAAGAGAAAAATAGGAATAAATAACAAGGACAACAAACAGAAGACAGTAACAAATATTGTAGAGACTAATCCAACTGTATCAATAATCATTTTAAATGTCAATGGTCTAAATGCACCAATTAAAAGATAGAGATTGTCAGAGCGGATCAAGAAGCAAGAGAGAACTATAAGCAGTCCACTAAACACACTATAAATATAAAGACACATACATATTAAAAGTTAATGGATGGAGAAATATATACAGTGTGAACACTAATTAAAAGAGAACAGGAATAGCTATATTAATTTCAAACAGAACAGACATCAAAGCAAAGAAAGTTATCAAAGATAAAGATGGATCATTACATAATGACAAGGGGTTAATTCCAAGAAGGCATAACAATCTTTAATTTGTATTCACCTAACAACAGAGTATCAAACTGCATGAGGCAAAATTGATAGAACTGAGAAGAGAAATACATGAATCCACTATCATTGTTGGAGACTTTAATACCCCTCTATCAGAAATGAACATATCCAGCAGGCAGAAAATCAGAAAGATACAGGTGAACTCAACAACACCAACAATCAACTGGATATAATTGACAGCTATAGACTATTTCATCTAATAACAGCAGAATATACATTCTTCTCAATCTCACATGTAATATTCACCAAGATAGACCACATTCTGGGCCATGAAAACACCTTAATTTAAAACAGTAGAAATCAAACAATGGAATTAAACTAGAAATCAAGATTAGAAAGGCAATTGGACAGTCCCAAATATGTGGAGATTAAACAACACACTTCTAAACAACAGAGGGATTAAGGAAGAAATATCAAGAGAAATCTTTAAATATTTCTAATTAAATGAAAATGAAAGCACAATTTATCAAAACTTGTGAGATGCAGTGAAAACAGTGCTTCAGGGGAAATTAATAATTAATTGAATGCATATATTTTTAAAAAGATAAAAGAGTTAGGGGCGCCTGGCTGGCTCAGTCGTTAAGCATCTGCCTTCAGCTCAGGTCCTGATCCCAGGGTCCTGGGATCCAGCCCCGCATCGGGCTCTCTGCTCTGCGGAAAGCCTGCTTCTCCCTCTCCCACTCCCCCTGCTTGTGTTCCTGCTCTCGCGTGCTCTCTCTCTGAAAAAAAAAAAAAAAAGATAAAAGAGTTAAAATCAGTAATCTAAACTTACACTGGGCAAACTAGAAAAAGATAAGCAAATTAAAGTAAGCAGAAGAAAAGAAATAATAATTAGAGCAGAGTGTTCATTTTGGCAGCGCATATACTTAAAAAATGGGAATGATACAGAGAAGATTAGCATGGTCCTTGTGCAAGGTTGACACACAAATTTGTGAAGTGTTCCATATTTTTTCACCATATTGTACACCTGAAACTAATATAACACTGTATGTTAACTATACTGGAATCAAAATAAAAAACGTAATAAAAATTGCCATAAATTACAAAAAAAAAAGAATTAGAGCAGAAATCAAAACAGGAGAAACCAAGAGATCAAAGGAGAAAAAGCAACAAAACCAAAAGCTAGATCTTTGAAAAGATGAATGAAATAAATAAGCTTCTAGCCAGACTAACAAAGAAAATGAGAAACAGGAAACAAATTATTAATATCAGAAATGAAAGAAGGGACATCACTACAGATCCTATGGACATTAAAAGGATAATAGAGGGGGCTCCTGGGTGGCTCAGTTGGTTAAGTGTCTGACTCTTGATTTCAGCTCAGGTCATGATCTCAGGGTCGAGATCAAGCCCTGCATCAGGCTCTGTGCTGAGCAGGGAGTCTGCTTGAAATTCTTTCTCCCTCTCTATCTCTCTGTCCCCCTCCCCCTGTAGGCTCCCCCTGCCAAATAAATAAATAAATATTTTAAAAAAGGATAATACAGGAATAATATGAACAACTCTATGCCCACAAATTTGACAAATAAGATGAAATGGACCAATTATTTAAAAGACACAATTTTCCTAAACACACACAAGAAGAAATACAAAATCTGACTAGGTCTGTATCTATCTGGTAAAGAAATTGAATCCATAATTAAAACCTTCCAAAACAGAAAACACCAGGCCCATATGGGTTCACTGGTGAACTCTACCAAATATTTAAGGAAAAAATTATAACAATTCTTTACAATCTCTTTCAGAGAATAGAAGCAGAGAGAATACCTCCTAACTCATACCTGCATACCAAAACCAGACAAAGACATTAAAGAAAATAAAACTATAGACCAATATTTCTCATGAACATAGACGCAAAGATCTTCAACAAAATATTATTTCCTATATACCACCAATGAACAGGTGGAATTTGAGATTAAAAATACAATACCATTTCCATGGTACATGAAATATGTAGGTATAAATCTAACAAAATATGTACAAAATCTGTATGAGGAAAACTACCAACTGATGAACAAAATCAAAGAAGAACTAAAGAAATGGAGAGATATTCCATGTTCATGGATAGAAGGATTCAATATTGTCAAGATATCTTTTCTTCCCAACTTGATCTATAGATGTGATGTAATTCCAATTGAAATCCCAGCAATTATTTTGTACATACTGATTCTAAAGATTATATACAGAGGTAAAATATCCAGAATAGCCAACACAATATTGAGGAACAAGAACAAAGTTGGAGAATTGAAACTACTGACCTTCAACACATATTAAGCCAGAGCAATCAAGACAGTGTGGTATTGGTGGAAGAATAGACAATGGACCAAAATAGAAAGCCCAGGTGAATCTAGACACAGACCTTACACCCTTCACAAAAATAAACTTGATATGGATCACAGACCTAAATGAAAAATGCAAAACTATAAAACTCCTAGAAGATAACATAGAAGAAATCTAGATGACCCAGTATGACAATGACTTTTTAGATTCAACACCAAAGTCACAACCCATAAAAGAAATAATTGATAAGCTGGACTTCATTACAATTAAAAACTGTTCTGTGAAAGACAATGTCAAGAGAATGAAAAGACAAGCCATGGGCTGGGAGAAAATATTTAATATACATCTGATAAAAGATTGTTACCCAAAATATACAAAGAACTCTCAAAACTTAATAAGAAAACAAACAATCCAATTTTAAAATGGGCCAAAGACCTTAGTAGATACCTCACCAAAGAAGATGTACAGATGGCAAATAGCCATATGAAAAGATGCTCAACATCATAAGTTTCAAGGAAATGTGAATTAAAACAAAGTGAGATACACTACACATCTATTAGTACTTATGACCAAAATTCAGAACACCAACATAGCAAATGCTGGTGAGGATGTGGGAAAACAAAAAGTCTCATTCATTGCTGATGGAAATGCAAAATGGTACAGTTTGAAGTTTTCTTACAAACTAAACATACTCTTACTGTATGACCCAAAGGAGTTGAAAACATATCCACACAAAAATCTGCACACAGATGTTTATAGCAGTTTTATTCATAATTATCAAAACAACCAAGATGTCTTTCAGTAGGTGAATGGATAAATAAACGTACATCCAAATAATGGAATATTATTCGGTGCTATAAAGAAATGAACTATTGGGGCACTTGGGTGGCATAGTTGGTTAAGCATCAGACTCTTGGTTTTGGCTCAGATTGTGATCTCAGGGTCATGAGATTGAGCCCCGCATCAGACTCCCAGCTCAGCATGGAGTCGGCTTCAGACTCTCTCTCCCCGTCCCTCTGCCCTGCCCCGCTGCAGTCTCTCTCTCTCTAAAGTAAATAAATACATCTTTTAAAAAATCTAAAAAAAAAAAAAGAACTCAAGCTATGAAAAGACACAGAGGAAACTTAAATGAGTATTACTAAGTGAAAGAAGCCAATCTGTAAAGGTAATGTACTATAGACTCCAACTATGTGACATTCTAGAAAGGCAAAATTATGGAGACAGTAAAAAGATCAGTGGTTGATAAGAGTTGAGGGTGGCTGGGTTAGGGATGCATGGGCAGAACACAGAGGATTTTTAGGATAGTGAAAATACTTTATATACCATAATGATGGACATATGTCATTATACATTTGTCTGAACCTATAGAATATACAACACCAAGATTGAACCCAGATATAAACTATGGATTTTGGATGATTATGATGGGTCTATATAGGTTCACCAATTGTAAGAAATGTATTATTCCAGGGAGGGGGGGATGTTGATAATGAGGGAGGCTATGCATAATGAGGGTAGAGGCTATATATGAAATCTCTGTACCTTCCTCTTAATTTTACTGTGAACCTAAAACTGCTCTTAAAAAGTCTTTTAAAAAACAAAAACTATATCCAATTATGTAAAATCCTAAGTATATCCCAACTTCTGGTGTGATAAGTATAATGAAAAAAATGTAGATGATTGTTGAAGCAATTATTAGCATTAGTTGACCATTTTTGGTGTCACATTTAACCAGCTATTAATTAAAGTGACACATCTAACCAGCTATTAAGTGGTGGCATTATATTCCTTTTGCTTACAGGTGACAGAAATCAAATGTGATCTATATTAAGCAAACAGGAGAATTTATAATATGGATATAGGATTTTCTCACCCAACCCAAGGATGGGAACTTGGTATCACGTAGAACAATTTAGACAACATTTGACCTAGCATCATTCACATGGAGGAAAATTTAGTAAGTAGCAAGCATTATCAAACAACTGCTTAGTTCATAAAAGAGAGATGCTTTGATTATTCGGATGGACCATTTTGTTCTTGGATCACATCAAAGAGTTTTTTCTTGTCAATAATTATAACAATAATTATAGAAAAACTGACACTTTATCATGTAATATCACATTTAATTCTTATAACAACACTGAAAGGTAGGTGCTATGACTTCCATGTTACAGATGTGGAGGATACAACTTAAAAAAGTTAAATGATTTATATGTGGGTAAGAAGCTGGAGAGTAACAATGTTAAGGTGTAAATTCTTTCTGCATCCAAAATCAATGTTAATTTTATTCCATATTGTCATGAAACAATGTAAGTAAATTTCAGTTTGGAAATTCTGAAAAACAATAGTGATTCTCTGTATCTGTTGTCAGTTATGTGCATCTTATACCTTGCTCAAGTTTGAGGGACTTGGGATTGTTAAAGAAATATACACTCAAGGTGCCTGGCTGGCTCAGTCAGGAGAGCATGCAACTCTTGATCTTGGGATCATGAGTTCAAGCCTCACGTTGGGGGTAGACATTACTTAAAAATTTAAAAAACAAACAAATTTAAAAAAAAAAGAAATATAACTTGTGGACACTGTGGATATAGGCAACTTGGAGTTATCCAGTCTTGATATATAAATCCTCTTCTCACAAAGATTTTTAAATCTCTTTAAATACATTCTGAAAGGAGAATTTAGAATAAACTTTGCAAATGCCTGACAGACTGGGATTTGGTTTTGTGAAAGGAGGGAGATATTAGAAAATGCCATTTTTAGTCAAGATAGTATAGCATATTCAGCATTCTCCTCTTGAGAGTAATGTCAAGAGACATAGGCATACTAGGCCCTGTAATGTTACCTGCAAAAAGTTAAGAGGTCTTCTAAAATATCCCTTAACTTCTTAATGGATTTGACTTTTATGTGTTAAGAACTTCTATTTTAAATCTTTTGAACCAATAATATTACTTCCTTTGTCTTCTCTTGGAAGTAGCAAATACAAGTTGGGGGTACAGTAAGATATCATGTGTCCTAAATCTCTCCTTTCAAGCTTTAAGGAGTGCTCACAGGATACGACATTACTTACGTAGCATTCTTGCCAAAAACTTTAATCTAATCATGAGGAAACAATCAGGGAAATTCAAATTGAGAAACATTCTGCAAAATAATTTGCCTGGACTCTTAAAAAATGATCAATGATGAGAAAAATGAAAAAGGCTGGCTGGCTGTTCTATATTAAGGGAGAGTAGAGAATTATGCCAAATAAATGCAATGTGAGCTATCTGATCGGACTTGGATCAAAACAAGAATACAAGGAAGGAAGGAAGGAAAGAATGGCAAGCTATAAAGGACTTTATTGGGACAACTGGAGAAATTTGGATCTAGATTATATATTAGATAATAGTATTAATGTTAAATTTCCTAAGTGTGATAATATATAGTAATGCTGTAGGAGATAACCTTTCCCTTGGGAGATATATTATGAAGCATTCATAGTAAGAACAACAAAAAGAACAACTTGCTGGTCTCTGTAATTCTAGATTTTGATGAATCAGTTTGTGTTCATCCTACCCATTTTCATCCTGATTTTATCAGTTTTCAAAGTATTAATATTTTTTGTCCATTTTCTGACAGACAATTTTCCATGTCTTTACGTCTTCTTAATTACCTTTCTCTAAGTGGTTTCTTGCTTTATG